CTTATATCTTTGTACCTCAATTTTCTCATTCCTTTTACGTACAAAGACCCATTTATAGCTAACAGGTTTAACACCATTAGGTGTTTGGACTACAGACCCAAAAACTTCACGTTTCGCAAGTGAATCCAACTCAGATTGGATTTCATCTTGCAATTTTGGCCAATCACGTCTTTGTCGACATTCTCCAACAGATTGAGGTTCAAGATCCTCATTATCTTGCATAATGCTATATGCAACATTGTATGTAAAGACATAATCCACCACTATATTCAATCGATTCAAATTTTTCTCAATATCGATTGGATTTATTGATAGTTCCTTATTTTCTTGAGTCTAAGGCTCAGCGATATCCTCATGAATCTCATGATTGGTTAAATCATGGGTTTCTTTATGAGACTCTTTCGTAGTGTCATCTTGATCATTTATTTTCCTTTTTCTAGGATTTTGATCCTTAGAACCCAATGGTCTGCCATGTTTTTGGCGTGCTTTTGACTCATTAGCTATGACACTAGAAGATTGTCCAACATGGACATCAATACGGATTGGAACATTCTCTGCAGGGATATGTGATTTCGTTATTCTTTTCAGATCTGTAAATACATCCGGCATTTGATTTGCTATTTTCTGCAAATGGATAATCTTTTGCACCTTGTTTTCATAAATAGAGGCACGTGGATCAAGATGAGACAATGATGAACTTTTTCACGAAATTTCTCGTTTGATTTCACCAATTTCTCCCCTAAATTTTGGAAAAAATGCCTCATCGAATCGACAATCTGCAAATCGAGCAGTGATCAAAACTCCCATTAATGTTTCGAGGTAGCGAATAATGGAGGGCGATTCAAATCCAACATATATTCCTAACCTTCTTTGGGGACCCATCTTGGTGCGATATGGCGGTGCTACATGCACATATACATCACATCCAAAAATTCTTAGATGGGATATATTAGGTTCATGACCCAAAACTAATTACAACGGGGAATATTTATGATAATTTGTCGGTCTGAGACGAATTAGCATTGTTGCATGCAAAATGGCATGACCCCAAACAGAAGTGGGTAATTTCGTTTTCATGAGTAACGGTCTTGCTATCAATTGCAGACGTTTAATCAAAGACTCTGCAAGGCCATTTTGAGTGTGAACATGAGCTACATGATGTTCCACTTTTATCCCAATTGATAAGCAATAATCATTAAATGCTTGGGATGAAAACTCAGCAGCATTATCAAGTCGAATAGACTTAATTGGATTATCGGAAAATTGTGCCCGTAATCGAATTATTTGTGCCATTAATTTTGAAAACGACAGGTTGCGAGATGACAATAGGCCCACATGAGACCATCTAGAAGATGCATCTATTAAGATCATAAAATATCTAAACGACCCACTAGGTGGGTGAATAGGTCCACAAATATCCCCTTGTATACGTTCCAAAAACGCAGGGGACTCAATCCCAACCTTTGTTGATGATGGTCTAATAATCAAATTGCATTGATAACAAGAAGTGCAAGAGAACTCATTATTTAAAAGAATTTTGAAATTATTTAATGGATACCATTTGAGTTCTCTATAATCCGTCTCATCATAATTGATCCAGGATGTCCCAATCGATCATGACAAAGTACAAAAGTATTGGAATTAGAATCCTTTTGGTTTACGATAGAATGTGCCTCAATTGCACTAATTCTTGTCCAATACATGCCACAAGATAAAGATGAGAACTTCTCAATAACCCTTTTTCTGGCCAGAGACATTCTTGGTAACGATGAGATATTCGAGATTATTCTCATCTATTGTCTCAATATGAAATCCATTTCGGCGGATATCTTTAAAACTCAACAAGTTCCTCTTGGACTTGGAGGAGAACATTGCATTCTCTATGATAAGTATTGTTCCCTTAGGCAGAGTTATATTAACTCTTCCAGAACCTTCAATTAGATTACTACTACCAGAAATTATAGTAACATATATTTTACACATACTTAAATGAGAGAAATATTTCTTCTCTTTGAATATTATATGTGTTGTACATGAATCAATTAAGCAAATATTTTTACAATTGAACTTTGATCCAAGTTTGCTTTGAAAATATCCATATTTTCTTCCCATGGTTTGACATACAAAAGAAGTATATGAATAAATATTAGTATTTTTAGAGAAAAAGAAAAAGAAATAAAGTTAAACCAACAAATTTATTTACATGTATAAGTTATTTGTATTTACATGTATAAGTTAATTGTATACAAAATAATACAATTAGAAGTATATTACACATATAACTAATACAACTACAACAAATTTATTTACATGTATAAGTTATTTGTATTTTCCTACACATTGATTTACATAGTATGAAAAATAATTGATCCGTATAAGAAAAAAAAATTTAAGTTGCTTCTCTTTTCTTTATTCATAATATTTCATCCATGTACATGAAAAAATATTGAGGGTGAAGTAACAAAAGTTGTTCCAGGGTACTTGTAAATATTTTCTTAAAGAGATTTAAAATAACATAAAGGAAAATAAAAAGCGTTAAAAGATCACTGAGACAAGGACACTAATTACTTAGATATTACTCCTTGTTTGTAAAATTTATGAAATTTCGGAAATACATATAATTTTAAGAACTACATAAGAAGTATTATTAAGTGCAATAAAAATTATAAGATGTTTATTCATTAGATACTACGAATAGGAAAATATAAAAATCAAATTGCTCAATCATCTTTAACCATAGATACATCACCGATCGAGTGATTTATTTTTCCATCAGGGTGCTCAAAAATATCTGCTACATCCAAGTGAGTGATGTCAAATTCATTGTCATAGACAAAATTAGCTTCAGGGGCTTTATTCTTTAGAGATGCTTGATAAAGCTCAACTAAATATTTTGGTATGCGACAAATATTTTTGCCCAATGCCCTTTTCCACCGCAACGATAACATTCAATTTCTGAACCATTTGCTTTTGGCCCTTTCCACTTTTGGTGGTTATTTTTCTTTGGGGGGTGATTAACACCAGAAAAATTTCTTCCTTGGCCACGACCACGACCACGAACAGGTCCACGACCTTTTCCACGCTTAGAATAATGGGAATACACCTCTTTCACTTCAGGCAATGGTGTAGACCCAGTGGGTCAATTTTCGTAATTTTTCATGAGCAAGTCATTGTTTCGTTAAGCCACAAGGAGAAGAGAAATCAACTCAGAATACTTCTTGAAACCTTTCTCCCGGTACTGCTGTTGCAAGACCATATTGGAGGCATGAAATATTGTGAACGTTTTTTCAAGCATATCATAGTCAGTGATAGTATCTCCACAGAGTTTCAATTTAGAAGTAATTCTGAACATCGCAGAATTATATTCAGAAACAGACTTAAAGTCTTGGAGCCTCAGATGAGCCCAATCATATCGTGCTTGTGGAAGAGTGACCAACTTTAAGTTGTCATATCTTTCCTTTAAGCCATTCCACAAAATAAGTGGATCTTTGACTGTGAGATATTCTATCTTCAACCCTTCATCAAGGTGATGGCGCAAGAAAATCAAGGCCTTAGCACAGTCATGGGTAGATGCTTTATTTTTGTCTTTAATGGCGTCTCCAAGACCCATTGCATCTAAATGAATTTTAGCATCCAACACCCATGTCATATAGTTCTTGCCCGAAATTTCAAGAGCAACGAACTTTCTTTTCATAATATCAGTCATAATTAAAAGAGGAGAAAAGTTATACCTTAGTCTTCTCAAAGAGCTTCTTGAGACGGTAGAGTCTCGTGCTGATAATATGTTATAAAATATAATTCAAAGTAACAATATGGAACAAGGAAAAACAAGCTAAGAGATATACAGAGAAAGAGATGAGAGATTCTTATTTCTTCTTCAATTGTGTGTATTTTTCTATCTATTACAAGGCTTTTATATAGGCATAAAAAGTGAAGAAAATATGTTATTGAATGTCATTAAACATAGAAAATATGTCATTGAATATGTCATTAAGCATTTGAGATGAAGATCATGGAGGAAGAGTAGACATCCACCATAATTTGATATTTCTTATAACAAAGAAGATAATATTTGAGAAGAAATTATTCTCCATTGTCTCCATTTTATGTGATTCACTTCTCGTTTTAGTTAATAAATACTGGAGTACACTTTTTTATATTTAGAATCAACCTAATTTTAAATTTTTTATTTATTATAATAATATTATTTATAACCACACAAATTTCTTGACTTACTTGATTTAGATTTTGACAAGAGTGGGTTGCTCTAGTGGTGAGCACCCTCCACTTCCAACCAAGAGGTTGTGAGTTCGAGTCACCCAAAGAGCAAGGTGGGGAGTTCTTGGAAGGAGGGAGCCGAGGGTCTATCGAAAACAGCCTCTCAAGGTCTGCGTACACACTACCCTCCCCAGACCCCACTGGTGGGATTATACTACGTTGTTGTTGTTGTTTACTTGATTTAGATTTTAAATTTTAATTTTGTTTTCTTTCTTAATTCGACGCCCACTCAAACAAAATGACGTAAAATGGGAAGGAAGGGGGTACCAAATAGTGTCAGGAGCTTCCGATAAAGTGGCTAATTTTGGAAATTTCCCAACGTTAGTGTCCTGCTTTCTTCTGTCTAGTTGTTGCCACATATGTCTATGACCAACATAGAAGAAATTATGTGATGTGATTCTTTTTATCCGTTTAAAACAATTCTTTCCGTTTTAATTGATTGTTTTAGACCTCAAATCAAAAGTATTTTTTTCGTAAACTTCGTAACCAATTAAACTACTGTACTACTACTTATAACACAAAAATTGGGATTAGAGAATATTAGAACAAAGGAAATAGTGTCAAATTTCTTTTACTATCAACACTAGAGCAATATTTACCTTTTTTAATGATCTTAATACCAATCTTTTTAATTGTCCTGTTTTATTTTGAAGCAAACATGACTTTCTAGGCGCTAAGTTCTGAAAGGAGTTGTAAAACTTGCGTATTTGACATTATAAAAGTGTCCCAATTAAGTAATATATGAATGATCTTTAACAGAACAAATAATACACATAGGCACTATTTCAGCTGACTAGTTGATGAATAAATCATAGTACCCTCCATTAATAAACAAAGAATGTAGTAATATTAAACAACAAATAGTGGTAGTAAAAATGAATTAACAGCGGTCACGACTACCGCCGCCCATAAAAGTCGTCGGCTCCGGCAAAATAAAACAAAAAATATCTCACAGATCAGAGAATTAAAGCATCAAAGTAGCAGCAAAAATAGCTACAACAGCAGATCCGGCGACGGCGACTCTGTTCAAGGAAGCAGAGTTGGGAGATGAGGTAGGAGAACCGCTGGGAGCCGCACCGATGGATGGAGGAGCAGCACCACCGGAAGGAGATGATGCCGGAGTATCGACAGTTGGTGGAGCTGGAGGAGATGCCAATGGAGATTCAGATGGAGAAGAAGCAGTAGTAGGAGCATTTGCAGGAGCAGAGACAGGTGTTACTGCAGATGGAGGAGTCGCCACCGGAGGTGACGATGCTACCGGTGGTGGAGAACTCTTCGGAGAAGCTGCCGGAGATGCTCCTGGTGCCTGAGCAAATGCAGATCCAGCCACCAAAGCCAACATTAGAGCAACGATTACCTTTGAGTATTCCATTCTAGCCTTTGGACGAAGAGCTTTTTCGAGAAAGAGAAGTGGAATAAAGTGTACAAAAGAGATAAAGGAGGAATATGACTGTTGTTGAGTACCGTTTGAGAAAAAGGACGGGAAGAGAGGTCTATTTATAGGAGGGAAATATGGGGAAAAATAAATTTTAATTTTGATTGGTCGGTTTAGAAGAAAATTTATTTAAAATAAGGAATCTGGACTGGACTTATAATTTGTTGACAACTCAACGAAAGAAGAAGGGAGGGGCGGTGTCCCAACTGGTTACATTTTTCTTTCCGTGTGAAGCGATAAATTTCATTATACTAAAAGATTTGTTTGAATGTTTCTTTCCAGTACTACTTTTGTATTTTAAATACTTTTAACAAAAAATTCGAAGATTCTTTTTCTTCATTTATAAAAACAAAGGAAAAATAATGGAAACAAGCTAAGGAATAACTGTTTTTTAAAATTTTCTTTCTGGCCATGTTAACGACCGTTTGGATCATTTATTATAGCAAACATTATGGTTACCGTTATGATTGCCACGTTCTAGTCTTGCTAGCGGGGATTATAAAATTCGTATAATTTTTGGTTGCGACAATTCGTTTCTGTGTTGGCCTTGGCCACAAAAAAAATAGG